GACAGGAGCCTTTGTGAGTAGTTCTGTCTGAGCCACACGACCCAATCAATCAACTGGTCGTCTTAGCACGGAAAGTGTGAAGCGCATGTTCAAATTTTCTTAAATGCAGGAGTGTACTTATGCACATGGCATAGGTCTGAGCCAAAAGTAATTTTTAGGACCAGGCTGAAGTAACCACTTTCTGCTTTCTGCTTAGTAATCACCTGACTCCTTACAGCTGGAGGAGGCAAACTGAATTCATGGCACTGTGTTGAGGCATTGATTATGCCTGCCAGTCAGTCACTGAAGAAGCAGATTGATGTTTAAAGAGTCTAGGCAACTGATATTTTCTCCTTTCTCACATGCTCTCCTTCTCCTCTCATACTTGGGATGATCTTACTGTTTCCTAACCAGCATCCTAATTCCAGTGTCTCCAGCCCCTAATTCCTAAATTCTGGTCATTCTGTTACAGGTCTTATGAATAGGGCCACTGGCTCCCCATGGCCTCTGGTTCAAGTGAGAACTTTGTAGTCTTTTTTCATAATAATACCATCTGCTTGCATTAATTAGCAGTAGTAACAATTCACATTTACCTTTCAGTGCCTTCTTATTTGTGTTTTTTTTTTTTTTTTTTTTTTTTTTTGAAACAAGTTGTTCACCTGCCATTTCTTCTCTCTTCTCTACCTGGGAGAGTCTTTCCAATTCCATCTCAAGTTCCTTCTCCATGAATAAATTCCCCTGATTAAAAAGTCGTCTTATAATGTGTTTTGATGACATTTAACAGTTGGGTGCCATTTTTATCAGTGGCAAATTAATAATGCTCCTATTCTTTTCTCTCATTAAAGTATATCTTAGGGTGTTATTCTTCTTTGTCTTGTTTTCCCACTACTCTAAGTGTGTGTTTTTAATTGACTGAGGTTTTTTTTTTTTTTTAATCATGATAAGTGTACTTTTTAATCATCATCCCCTATTTCTCTCATCCCCCTAACCACCTTCTCTTTGGTAACTATCAGTTTGTTCTCTAGAGTTAAGAGTCTATTTCTTGGTTTGTCTTTCTCTTCCCCCCCCCACTTTGCTCTTTTGTTTCATTTCTTAAATTCCACATGATTGAGATCATCTGGTATTTGTCTTTCTCAGACTTACTTCACTTAGCTTATACTCTCTAGCTCCATCCAAGTTGTTGCAAATGGCAAGATTGTATTCTTTTTTTATGGCTGAGTAGTATTCTATTGTATATATCACCTCTTCTGTATCCATTCATCAGTTGATGATGGACACTTGAGCTGCTTCCATAATTTGGCTATTGTAAATAATGCTGCAATAAACATAGGGGTGCATGTATCCCTTTGAGTAACTGTTTTTGTATTTTTTGGATAAATACCCAGTAGTGTGATTATTGGGTCTTAGGGCAGTTCTCCTTTTAATTTTTGATGAACCTCCATAGTGTTTTGCACAGTGCCTGCAGCAGTTTGCATTCCCACCAACAGTGCATGAGGGTTCCTTTTTCTGCACATTCTTGCCAACACCTGTTGTTTCTTGTGTTTTTGTTTTTAGCCATTCTGACGGGTGTGAAGTGATTATCTCATTAGAATGGACTGAGTTTTTAATCCTGTCCAATGGGTGAGATTATCCCTGGATATTAAATAGATTGAGTAACTTTATTTTCTGTTTTTCTATGTAGGAAGCCAAGAGTAATAAATCTCCCTGCCCCTTTTATGGCCCTCTTCCCCTTGCCTTGACTTATACATTATTTCCCTTACTTTCTGAAGTATGCTGCCCAACGTGTTGGGGCTACTGCAAAAAGAAAATAAAAAATATTTATAGCATTTTTATGGTAAAAAAGTCTCCTGATATAAAACTTCAATATTTACCTGTGGTCAGATGGGGTAGGAAGGGTATGCAGAATGAAATGGAATTTCTGAATTGTGTTGACTTTTAGTTGTCATTGCCATAAGAGAAAGCTCCTGGTCATTCAGAGATTATACATTTAAACAAAATGATATGTAGTTATAGCAACAATGTTAGCCTAAAATGGATATACAACTTAATGTACCAGTAGGTACATATGAAATGTGACTTGGATAATATTTGTGATCCTTCTCCAATAAAATAAAAATTTATTAAAAAAACTTGATAACAAGTACTACTATTTCAATGTATACCTTTTAAAATTAAAAAAATATTGTGTGTGTGTGTCTTAAACATGAGAATTGTTTGAATAGTGGGTAGGAAGGCTAAAAATTGTCCCATGGTCATGTTATATTTTTATTGTTGTGCATTGGTTATATCTCTGTGCAACTGGCTGTTATTATAGTATAATAGAACTTCACAATCATATAGGGCCCTATAAATTTTCAAAACCACTCCATTTCCTTTAACAGATAGGAAAGAATTTGGATAAAGATGTCAGTCTTCCTCTGACAGCTTTTCCTGGGAATAAAACCTTCAGGGATAAGTGATGAGTATTACGTTGATGCTGTTGTTTAATATAGTAATGCCTAATGGAAAAAGTTTTGGCTCTACCCCTTACTATCTGAAACTTTCTCACTTCAGTTTTCTTATCTGTAAAGCAGTAATAGAATAATAATTGTATATAATAGATAATATTAGTAGATCATGATTGAACTTTCTGTATATTTTGGAGACTTATACCTGACTTCTGGCTATTTGCGACCCACTCAATAAATTTACTTCTATTTAGGAAAATTGTATGTTAAAATTACATGAACTCAATCAGTCTTTTATTTCTGTAATCAAGAATGTACCAAACAGTAATCTATTTCTCCAATAATTTTTTAAAATATTTATTTATTTGAGAGAGAGAGAGAAAGAGCAGGAGCAGGGGTGAGGGGCGAGGCAGAGGGAGAAGCCGACTCCATGCTGAGCAGGGAGCCTGATGCAGGCAGGGCTCAGTTCTAGGACCCTGGGATCATGACATGACCTGAGCCGAAGGCAGATGTTTAACCGACTGAGCCACCTAGGCTCCCGTTTTCTCCAATAATGTTTTAATTTATTTTATTTTATTATTATTATTTTAAAAGATTTTATTTATTCATGAGAGACAGAGAGGCAGAGGCAGAGGGAGAAGCAGGCTCCCGGTGGAGCAGGGAGGCCGATGTGGAACTCGATCCCAGGACCCCAGGATCAAGTCCTGAGCCGAAGGCAGACGTTAACTGACAGAGCCACCCAGGAGTCCTAAAGTTTGATTTTAAATTCCAATTTAACTAAAAAAAATTCTGAGCATTTGTTTTAGGCAAAAGACCATTCTAGATGTTCCGATGGATTTAATGATATGACAAGATGTTTTCTGAGCCTGTGTCCTCATGTCTTAACAACCAACATTTGGTGAGACAGAAACACACATTAAAAAACTGAGTGTGCTAGAATCTCAAAAAAAGTACAGGATATGGGAAACCACAGTCTAACATGAATGCCTTTATCCAACATTACAAATATCCAACACTCCAGTGATTTCAGTTATGGATAGCTACGCTCTTTTCCATAGGGACCCAGAGTCCCTATTCCCACATTCCCAAGTCTCAATGCCTGACAGAGTTCCAAGAACAAAAATTTCTTCTATAAAGCCTCCAGGACTTCTTACTATGGCTAACTTGTCTGTGTAATTTATTTATAGCTTAGTCCCTGTTAAATGTACCACCTGACTAATCTCTTTCCTTAGTGATCCTTTGAGGGGAAACAGCCCATAAAAAAATGGACAGAGGCCTCTTAATTCTGTAGTTAAGTATAACTTCTCCCATCTCCAAACTTAAATTTGCTGCAACATTTAAATAGATGAAATCCTTCCAAATAGCATACAGTATCCCAATTAGTAAACATCCTTCTACATTTCCAAATAACTGCCCGAATGCTTTCAGAACAGATTTCCTGATTTCCCTTCCATTCAGCTACCAGTTTAGAAACTGAGGAACCTGTTATTTCCATGGGAAGGGAATATCTGTTTAATGAGTATCACAGAAACCCGTTTTCTTGTAGGGATAGAAGAGAACAGAGTATTTTCTGCAAGAAAACTATCCAGCTTCTAAAGGATTGCCATGTTTTACTGACAAATATGAGGTACTCTCATGAGATTTCATTTAGAGGTTAATATACAGAATTTAGGAAAACTGAAAGCGCCCTTTTTAAGAGTATCAGTTAAGGGGCAGCCGGCTGGCTCAGTCTGTGGAGGATGGGACTCTTGTGGTAAATCCCAGCCAGCCCCACATTGGGTGTAGAGATTACTGAAAATAAAATCTTAGGGAAAAAAAAAAGTGTCACTAAAAAGGATCCTAATCCCGGAGTTCTTCATTCCCAGAAGTACTTTCTGAGACCCACCCAAGCCGCTCTTGTTGGTTGCTTAGCCTGTGTTAGAGACCCCGGTAAAGAGGGACACCAAGAAGTCCGCAGGGAAAGCTGCGCTTTTACCTTTCGGTCCCCCAGCTACTAACCTAAGATTTGGCTCCCTATAAGAGGCATAGAGGTGTATCCTTGATCACTCTCCTCAAGGTTCTGGCGGTCGCTAGGGAGTTGGGCCCCCAGATTCTGTTAAGTGCAGACCAAGCGTTCTGGCCCCTTGGGGTCGGTGCAAGTTCAACAAGGCGAACTCTGGGAAAGACAACCGGAAGCCCTGAAGGCTCAACTGAAGGCTGTCTAGACCCCAAAACCACAGCGGGCCAACCCTTGCAAGAGCCCCAAGAAGTTAACTTCGAAGAGCACCTGGGGTGCAAGAGTCAAGAAAACATCCACAATACAAAAGGTGAAACTAGTAATTTCCAAAGTTAGGGATAAAACCAAGAAACCTGAAAGCCAAAAGCTAAATGGGCCAGACCTGCGTTTAAGGTAAAGAAAAACAGATCTTTAAAATAAAACTGTGTAATCACTATTAGAAAAACTACTGGCTTCTTGAGAGGTCAATTCCAAGACGGTCGCCAAAGGCCTTTCAGGCCTGCGCCAGGGTGGAGGTACGGTTCTATCAAAAACCCGACCTTGAGTGCAACGGTCTCTGTCATAGAATAAAGTGTTCGGCTCTGAAAAGAGCCTTTGGGTTTAAAGTTGGCACGGAACCAGGAAATCACATTTACGCCCTCTCCCCGCGGATGCGGCGCGCCAGCTGGATGTCCTTGGGCATGATGGTGACGCGCTTGGCGTGGATGGCGCACAGGTTGGTGTCCTCGAAGAGCCCCACCAGGTAGGCCTCGCACGCCTCCTGCAGGGCCATGACGGCCGAGCTCTGGAAGCGCAGGTCGGTCTTGAAGTCCTGCGCGATCTCGCGCACCAGCCGCTGGAACGGCAGCTTGCGGATCAGCAGCTCGGTGGACTTCTGGTAGCGCCGGATCTCGCGCAGGGCCACCGTGCCGGGCCGGTAGCGGTGCGGCTTCTTGACGCCGCCGGTGGCCGGCGCGCTCTTGCGAGCCGCCTTGGTGGCCAGCTGCTTGCGCGGGGCCTTGCCGCCGGTCGACTTGCGGGCCGTCTGCTTCGTGCGAGCCATGGTTTAGCGGCGAAGAGAAGAAACCGGATGAGGACCTCGGCCCTGCTTTTATACAGGAACAGAATCCCTCCGATTGGGTTGCGGGCGATTCCCGGAGTCAACGGCAGCGCGGTCCCGGAAGTGCAGGAGTGATTCACATTGGCTTAGCGGACCCGTGCGCGTTTCTGATTGGTCGATTTCAATTAGCCGACATCTTCCCAGCCCCCTTAAAAAAAGAATCAATTCTAAGTTACTTGTTTCTTTGAGGGTGCTTCACAACTCGTTAATTATTGTTAATAATAATTTTGAAGTTTCCTCCTGTTTCGGTAGAGAAAATAGAATATGTTCGAAAGAAAAAGCGCTTTACAATTTCTCGTAACAAAATGTCCGCCATTTTCTTTTTATCCTGTTTTCATCTGGGTGGTATTTCCTGTCCTTATCTATTTGCAAGTTTCACAGTGTAAATATCTCGTGAGTTCTATTTCGTTATACTGACAGCAAATATCTAGTTCATTGTAGTATAGTCTTCTAGGTCATAGTGTTAAGACGTAAAGAATTTCATTATTTCAGGATTCACGTTTTAAAATTGCAGTATCCTGGAGCCCCTGGCTCTTTAATACCGGGTTTGACTCAAACTGGTGATTGGACTGGGCTGTTTGGTTTTGGGTATTTAAAAATGTGAGCCGGGGTGTAATGGCGAGAGTCCTGAGAAAATGTTTGCAATGCGGAACCTTGAAAAAGATGGCGGCGATCGAGTCTTTTGAGAAGATTTCTTAACAATAGTAATTGTCCATCTCGGGATTATTGCCGGAAGTCATGGACAATTTGTGATAAAGCCAAAGAAGCTAAAGTTACGACTGGACTGGGCTCGATAATAGGATTTCCTTCCTTGGTTTTCGCGTCCAAAATAGAAGGTTTCTACTTATTTTCAAAATTATAAAAATAAGGTTTTATTGGGAGTGTGTGTGTGTGTGTGTGTGTTTTAGTGAATGCACTTAACAGTAATGAAGCGGTATTGTAAATCAACCTATTGGTGTCCCTGAAGCATTCGTTTATTCGTCCAATAAGAAAAGCAGGTTTGTAATTCCTAATTTACATACTATTAATCTATTGGCCACATTGGGTCCAATGAAAATGTAGCTTTTTGAACCTTCGTTTGTATATAGGTGCTATTAATATTCTGGATTTTCGGCTTCCTTTGTTTTTTTCGGTGGTCCCAATTTCTCTAGTTTTGAGATTACCATGCCCGAGCCCGCCAAATCGGCTCCGGCCCCGAAGAAGGGCTCCAAGAAGGCGGTGACCAAGGCGCAGAAGAAGGACGGCAAGAAGCGCAAGCGCAGCCGCAAGGAGAGCTACTCGGTGTACGTGTACAAGGTGCTGAAGCAGGTGCACCCCGACACCGGCATCTCGTCCAAGGCCATGGGCATCATGAACTCGTTCGTCAACGACATCTTCGAGCGCATCGCGGGCGAGGCGTCCCGCCTGGCGCATTACAACAAGCGCTCGACCATCACGTCCCGGGAGATCCAGACGGCCGTGCGCCTGCTGCTGCCCGGGGAGCTGGCCAAGCACGCCGTGTCCGAGGGCACCAAGGCCGTCACCAAGTACACCAGCGCCAAGTAAAACGACTCCAGTCATCAATCAAGCTTTATAACCCAAAGGCTCTTTTCAGAGCCACTCAGTTTTTGCATATTGAGAGTTGTAATAAGTTTTCTCAGCACAGTTTTATGGTATGCATGGATTATGTGAAATGTGTACAGTAGGAACTTGGCTAAAGCTCTAAAAAGAGTAGTTTGGTTTTTGTGTTTGTTCATTAAGTCTTTAATTTGTCCTTCTATTTTGCCTAATCGTTGTTTAGATTTTAAAATTATTTTGTAGTTGGTGTCTGGAGCTTATGATTGCCTGTGCTTAAGTACATGTACTTGGGTTATTTGTTTTAAATACAACGCCTACATTATAACAATATAATTGGATGTGTTTCATAACCGTTAAGTCATGCACTGAGAAATTATTTTACAAAGGACACCAAGTCTCAATTTTAGTCATCATATAGTAGAGACTGAATTAGGCCTGGGGAATTACTGGACCCCATAATTTAATCTTAACTACCAATATAGACTGCTTCAAAGATACTTCTTCAAGTTTGCAATAACAATTTTTAATTTTCCTTCTTTTGCCTTTTTGTTACTGATGTATAGTGTGTTGAGTTGGTTTCTGAAACCCTAATTTTGACCTGCTTTTTATTTTTTGTTTTTCTTCCCCTCAGTTTTTCCTTCTGTATTCATTTAGACAGAAAAAAACAAGAGTAAAATGAAAAAGGAGTAAAAAAAGATCTAGGTATGCAGGGATCTCACAAGATATGGATGGAAACCAAGAGGTTTCATGTGTAAATTATTTAAAAGTTGACCGTTTGTTTTCTTGCTGCCAAAAGTAAAATGACTTAGATGTATTGTTGAGTCCAGACCAGGGTTTATAGGGTTGATATCAGGGAGACCTGCAAGGCGTGACGGATGGATGTATGTGCCACTTCACTGTTGGGGATATGTATGAAGGGTTACATAGTAGTGAAAGGGAATGTTCCCACTATAGGGCCCCTCCTTTCCCTTTTTTAAATATGTCTTCCATTAGATAAAGATTGCAGTTTCAGTTCTTCATATCTGTTATTTTAGATGGAACATGGACTGCTGAAGATGCTAAGTGTGTTGGCTAACTGTATTAGTTATCTATTGCTGCCTAACAGATGACCTTGAATTTACTAGCCTCAAATAACCCACATGTATTATGTGACAGTTTCTGTGGATCTGGGCAAGGTGTCGCCGAGTCCTATATAAGGATGCTATTGAGATGTTAGCTAGGCTAGAGGACTCTTGGATGCTTGACTGGTGAAATATCATCTTCTGAGCTCACTGGGTAGCTGAATTTGTTTCTTTCCGGTTGTAGGGCTGAGAATTCCATTTTCTTTCTTGTTGGCTATTGGTTGAAAGGCTTGTAGGCTGTTAGCTGGAGGCCTCCCTCACTTCCTAAAGAGCCCCCTCCCTCAGTTTCTTGTCATTTGGGCCTGCCAGCATGGATACTTGGTCTGTCAAAGTCAGCATGTAAGAGTTGAGGCAGACACATGTTACCTAACATACTTAACATGGTAGGTAACATGATTATATACAGAAAATTAAATCTCATCACCTCAGCAGTCACAGGTCATGTCCACACTCAAGGGGCTAGATCACAGAAGGGTGAACACCAGGAGGGGACCCTGGGGACCACCCTAGAGACCATCATTACAGGACCCATCAGGAAAAATAAAAGCCATCTAAGAACCCAAAGAAAGTTGACTAAAATAACTTCCCCCCTTCCCCTTGCCCCTACATTACTTTGGTTCAGTTTGCCTGAAGGCAGGAATCGGTGCTAAGAGGTAAGGAGAAAGGCTACAAATACCTTGAAGTGCTTTTATTTTATTTTATTTTTTTTAAAGATTTTATTTATTTATTTGAGAGAGAAAGAATGAGACAGAGAGAGCATGAGATGGGGGAGGGTCAGAAGGAGAAGCAGACTCCCCGCCGAGTGGGGAGTCGGATGCAGGACTCGATCCCAGGACTCCAGGATCATGACCTGAGCCAAAGGCAGTCGCTTAACCGACTGAGCCACCCAGGCACCCTGGAAGTGCTTTTAAATAGGCTACTGCCAGTGACTTTGTCTTGAAGCCAAGACACTGAACATAATTTGCCTGGTTATTATTTTGGAGGATGCTTCTCCCTCCTTTCCTTTGCAAGTACTGACACATGAGAAAACATTGTGTGGCTGAGTCCCAGCACAGGACTAGAGGTCTGTGTATCTCCCTTTCTGACTTTAAAGCTGACAAACCAGAGGGTTTGTGAGATGAATTAACATTGTTGCTTTTACTATAGAATATCAGGGAATATGTGTGACACAGTGTAACAAACCCCCAAATCTTTGTGGCTTAAAAATACTTTTATTGGTCATCAGTTTACATAATCCAAATATAAATGCTTTATGGGGGAGAAAAGTACCCATGTGCCACCTAGGCCTGCTCCTAGGTGCCTTCATTGGAGCTCAATCTGAGCTTCTCACTGAATCCTTTCTCCAGTTAGACAACTACTGGTTGATCTGACCAAACTCAAAAGCATTTTTTTTTTTTGAGTTGAATGGGCTAATAAGAGGATTACATAATTTTTTCAGTATTCATACTTTACTTTCAGAAAATAGTAACTAGATTTTAAAAACCTAACCTATTAGTGTGCGAAGCTCATTAGGATTGCCAAATCATGCCAAGGAAATTCTTAAAAATCAGAAGCAATTGCTAATTAAATAGCATGGGACCACTTAAAAGCTAGAAAGTTTTATGTTGGCAAAGCCTAGTACTAAACCTTTAAAAAACTTGCTTTAACATTTAGTGCTTTCCAGTAGCAGCAAACAGGATTAGGTTATAGTATATACACTTGAGTTCAGACCAGAAAACATTCTGTAACTCCTGATCCTGTGAAAAGTGAAAAAAGGCAGACCATTAGTACACCAATGTCCCCGGCTCCTTTAAATGAATGGGTGTGGCCCTGAAAAGGGCCTTTTAGGATTTTTCACCAAAATCGAATCTGTGGGCAGTCTCAGCCCCCGAAGCCGTAGAGGGTGCGGCCCTGGCGCTTGAGCGCGTAGACCACGTCCATGGCCGTGACCGTCTTGCGCTTGGCGTGCTCCGTGTAGGTGACGGCGTCCCGGATCACGTTCTCCAGGAACACCTTGAGCACCCCGCGGGTCTCCTCGTAGATGAGGCCGGAGATTCGCTTGACGCCGCCGCGCCGGGCCAGCCGCCGGATGGCGGGCTTGGTGATGCCCTGGATGTTGTCGCGAAGCACCTTGCGGTGGCGCTTGGCGCCGCCTTTGCCCAGGCCCTTCCCGCCCTTGCCGCGGCCAGACATTCTCACCGAGAAAAGAAAGATGCAGTAGACAGATTTGCTTTGACAACATACCGATCTTTTTATTTATAGCCCTGTGGCGGACCTAATTGAGAACCAAGAAGGAGGCTGGGCTGGTGGGGGAGGGGCGGGGGAAGCAGCGGATTTTCCCCGCCCACCGCTGCGGGCCAGGCTGTGCGTCCGGTGGGGCCGAGGGCCCACTGCCCGGGTCCCTCCCTGTTCCTTCCCTGAATTGTCTGAGACAAGCTCTGTTTAAGCGCGTGTAAGGAAAATTCTCTGCTTTTCAAGGGACTGAAATGATGGCACCTACCAAGCTAGTATCTGTTTCTCAGGTTTGAACCATTAGCATCCTTACGCAGCGTGGGCAAGTCGTTGACGAAATTACCCCTGGCTTTGAATATTAAACGTATATCTGAAATGTAGTCGAGTGTTTCGCTTCTCTCCTCCTCTTGAATCATTTTTGTACACTTTAAGTCAAGGTAGAATAGTGATGTTGGCAAGTTGGTCTCACGGAGGGAGGAAAGAACTCACGTCCCCGGTGGGACACGGACGCGCGTCTTCCTGGTGGGCTACTTTTTCCTCGGAGGTCCCTGTCTGTTGCCTGAGCCCTGGACCTTCCCTACCCTTCACCTTCTAGGGTCCAGGGCCTGTTTTGTGACTTGTGTTCTCTCAATTTCACTTTAGTTTGTTCCTCTATAGAATGGAAATGTTAATCCCAACATCACAAAAATGGTTTGAAAATCAAAAGGTAAATCTTAGGTCAAGTGTTGAACACAGTGATAACGACTTTGCCTGTGGAAATGCAGTCTCATACCCCGGGGACTGACTTCCTTCCTGATATTCTTAAATCTCTCAGTCTGGTATTTTGCAATTTGGATTTATGTTCAGTTTTTATTTTTTATTTTTTTGTAAGCTCTATATCTTTGTAAGTGCAAATCTTTGAGTTTAGGGGTCAGTGCTAAATTTACCTGGTTACATTCAAATTTATATACTCTCCCAATTTACCACCACCTTCACACCAAAAACACAATTCCTTCTAGGACTGCATTGTGTGATAAAAGTGATCTGGACCCACTTTTGAGCATTGGGAATATAGTTGATGCTGTGAGGGACTGAATTTTTAATTTTATTTAATAAAAATATTTAAATTTAAAAGCTATTACTCTGTCCAGTTATAGGAAAGTTTGGGGTATGTTTGAAGAACTTGGGCATGTGAACTCAATTTTTCAACAGTAAATTTTATGGTATTGAAATGCAAATCAAGTTTTTTACAATAAAAATTTAGTACAGATTGAATGAAATAGATACCCAATTTAGAGGATGTAGGATGAAAAAAGGAATGTAAATATTGCACTACTAATGTCTTTGTATTGATTACATATTGAGACAAAAATATTTTGGACATTTTGAATTATATCAAATATACTATTAAAATAATTGCATCCTTTCACTTTTTACAATGTGGTTACTGGAAATTTTTAAATTACATATGTGTTTTGCATTATTTCTTATAGGTGGCACTGCTCCAGGATTCTTCATTTCCTCTCTCTGTTAGTTGATTTCTTTTTTTTTTAATTTTTTTTTAAAGATTTTATTTATTTATTTGAGAGAGAAAGAATGAGAGATAGAGAGCATGAGAGGGAAGAGGGTCAGAGGGAGAAGCTGACTCTCTGCTGAGCAGGGAGCCCGATGCGGGACTCGATTCCGGAACTCCAGGATCATGACCTGAGCCGAAGGCAGTCGCTTAACCAACTGAGCCACCCAGGCACCCCTGTTAGTTGATTTCTTACCAAACTTTGCTGTCATGGGCTTTGGGATATTGTGGACGTTCAGTGTAAAGTTGACCCTTGAAAAACAGGGCTTTGAACCCCGTGGGCCCACGTATATGCAGATTGTTTTTTGGTAAACACAATACAGCATGGTAAATGTGTTATCTCTTCTTTATGATTTTCTTAATAACATATTTTTGTCCCTAGCTTACTTTATTATAGGAATACAGTATTTAATACATATCATATACAAAATATTTATTTATCAACTGTTTATGTTATCAGTAAGGCTTCTGTTCAACCGTAGGCTATTAGCAGTTAAGTTTTGGGGGGTCAACAGTTATACCTGGATTTTCAATTGTGCAAGGGATTGGTGCCCCTAACCTTTGTTTAAGGGCCATCTATATTTCTAAGAAACCCAGTTACAGAGACTGGCACCAAACTCAAATGAAGCATTGTACAAAAATTAAAAAAAATAACAAAATGACATTAGGGAGCAAAGGGAGGCTTGTCAAAGGAAACATTACTCATCAAAGCAAGAAAAGATGGATAGCTAGAAAAATTGTTGACCTTAGAATTCTTCAAGGGCAGGGTGTCAGGAGACGGAGACTTGCTGAAATTCTGTGCTAATATTTTTTTTCAGAAAGTATGTTTTGTTGAGAGAGAGCATCCAAAAATGTTTACTAACCCCATTATAGTCCAAAAGAGCTTAAGCTTCTGTACAAGAGACTATATATTCTGGTATTAAAAAAAAATAAGCAAATTAATCACTGTGGAAGTACAAAAGCATCTCATGGAAGGGAGAGCTTAGAGAATGGTTTACTGTTTCTAGAATCTGGGTAAAGACCAAGAAAGACAGATAAGAAAATCAAGTCCATTACTCTGGAGTCTAGAAACAAAGTTACAGTGTCTACTATTTGATTAATGAGTATAATGAGAATGTCAAGGAGTCACATCATGAAGTTTCATAGAAATTTATCTTGCAGGTTCTATGTTTGTATTTTTTTCCAGCAAAGGTTCATAGTATGAGACATATTATCTGAGATTTGGAAGTAAAGAAAAAAGAATGGGCCATGATGTTTAATATCATAAAATGCTAAAGACCACACAAATATAGTAGGACAATGGACTTTGATCATCTCACTGACCCTGACTGAAAGTAACAAATTTAGCAGGGGTTTATTTGGTAGAGATGCAAATAATTTCTGTTGGGAGGAACGGCTCTCTCTCTCCAAAGATTTATGGCCTCTTGGACATTATTAATTTTGTTTTAACCTCATTCAACAATCCTACTGCAATATTTCTGCATTGAATTGTTTATAAGTACCCTAATCTCTTAAATATTCTTTGAACCGATCAGAGCATTTTACCTTTTTCAGTCAATGATGGTTTAAGTAAACCTTTTGTCACAGGTTTATCTTCTATATTCTGAATGGTAATTTCACCTTTTTGAAAAAAGGTAAACAAGTGATGTCATATGACTTTGACTTGATTGGAGATAAACAGGGTGTCATAAAGCTGCTGGTCCTCTCTACTTCTTTAGGCCTGGGAAATTCAACACTAGTCCCTCTGTAGCACTTCAAATCACCACTGATGAGCAGGAAGGTTGAAAGTGCAGATGGGAAAGTAGATTCTTCATCAGGCATAGGGTCACTGAGGCCGAGGGAAAAAGACTTTGGTTACAGACTAGGACAGCTCTGAAACCTGTTAAGAAATACCTAAATATCAGGTTGACGTAAAGGGATAGAATGCATTTCTTTCCGTGGTCATATTGAGCACAGTCTGAAAGGCCTGTCCAAGTGTTTTTTAACTTATTTTAAGAGAATGTGCTTCTGTTTGACTATTTATTAGGGTCTAGGGTCTAGTGTCTAAGAAAAATCTATGAAGATTTAGATAATTCGTAGGATGTTGATAATTTCAGTGAGTTTTGTCTGTTGGAGATGGAAATTATGTCAGTAGAAAAGATTATCTAGAGGTTATAATTGTGCCATAGGACAATAACCCTCTTTTATCTAAATTTGCTCTTTTGGTTTTATTTCAGTCTTTTGTAGGGGAGGGAAATTTTCCCTCCATTCATTTTGGTTCTTGGCTGGGGCCTCTGTTACAAAACACAAATTAGCAAGAGAAAAACAATCAGATGTTTATTAACGTATATTTCATAGACACGTGGGAGAAACTCAGGGAATTCAAAGAGGTACCTTAGAACTGCAGCTTATACAGCATCTTGAAAAAGAACAATAGATACATTGAGAAGTGACAGGACAAAAGAAGGCAGTTTTAGGCTTTTAAGGGCTGAAAACCCTGGGAAGGTGAATATACGGGAGGAAACAGGAAGGTTTGCTGATTCCTCTGGTGTCTCTCTGGGCTGTTAAGATTCTAGAGGTCTCCAGAATAGCCTTTATATCCTGCCTTAGGGCAGAAAGCAGGAAGGGTGGAGGGAGCTTTTCCTGTGATTGTTGCTTAACTGCCTTGAACCCCAGATTTTTATGTCAAAGAGGAATATTGTGTTTCCTTCACTTTCTTGAACTATCGAGTCTTGATAATGTCCTATACTCCTTTGTACTAGGCTTATCTTCCTGATAGTCCCTTATTGATGACTTATATATTGGAAAAACTCACTATATGAGACTTGGCTTATTATTTCGAATTTTATACTTTGATAGCGCATAATGTAAGGGCATGAAAAACAATTTCTCCATGTGAAAAAAAATCAGGTTTGTATTTGCTTTTTAAGCTACTGAGGCCTACCCAGTGGATTGGAGACCCATTAAAAAACTATGCATTTCACTTGATTCACCTAGACTTTGACTCTAGTGATAATAGTAAGTGTTGCCCTTTTCTTTCACACTGCAAAAGGATAAAAGGCTGCCGGTAAATAGGGAAGTTCCTATCTTTTAATATCTAAAAGCCATTCTGTGCCCTTATCAAACAACTAGAGTTTGAAAGACATCCTGGCAGGTGAGTAGTAAAGCATCTTCCTAAAATTAAGCGATGGATTATGTAACCTTACACACAATTACTATGAATCCAAACAAGATTGTTATAAAACTCACTGCATGCATCTAATATGGCTTGAGTATTACTTGAAGGAGAAGACTCTCATGAAGAGAGATGTAAGGAAAGCATTACAACAGTTTTCTGATAAAGTAGGTGGCTCTGAAAAGAGCCTTTTTCAAAGTCCTGAGAAAATAGCCTTGGATTACGCCCTCTCCCCACGGATGCGGCGCGCCAGCTGGATGTCCTTGGGCATGATGGTGACGCGCTTGGCGTGGATGGCGCACAGGTTGGTGTCCTCGAAGAGCCCCACCAGGTAGGCCTCGCACGCCTCCTGCAGCGCCATCACGGCCGAGCTCTGGAAGCGCAGGTCCGTCTTGAAGTCCTGCGCGATCTCGCGCACCAGCCGCTGGAACGGCAGCTTGCGGATCAGCAGCTCGGTGGACTTCTGGTAGCGCCGGATCTCGCGCAGGGCCACCGTGCCGGGCCGGTAGCGGTGTGGCTTCTTGACGCCGCCGGTGGCCGGCGCGCTCTTGCGGGCCGCCTTGGTGGCCAGCTGCTTGCGCGGGGCCTTGCCGCCGGTCGACTTGCGGGCTGTCTGCTTCGTGCGAGCCATGACAAACAACAAAAGAGGAAACGGACTGGAGAGTAGCAAGTTGTCGGTTCTGACGGTATTTATAGACCAGTCTGGTTCGTAGGTCCCGCGCTGTGATCTAATTGGTTCTCCGGTTGCCTTCGCGAGAAATGATTGGATTTCCACTAAGATTTGAATATAGAATCAAAATGTATTTCTTGTTTATATTTACTCCTAGTGTACTTGAAATTGAGTTCATAAAAGCGAGATTTCATTTAGAGTCGATGTGAGTGTACTTCATTCATTGCTTTTTTGTGAAAAGGCAAAAACGAATAGGTAAAATAATTTTTAGTAAGAATGCAGGCTGCCATAAAATTTAAACAGCCCGCCATGACATGTGATTGGTCAGGTATCTCTCCTTTGTTCTCTCATTTCTTTCATACGTTTTAAGACTTTCTGACCGCAAGTTTGAATATAGTATATATGTAATTACGTACATTTGTATGTTAACTGTACACTTGTATATTAAACAGTCTCAACGTGTTGATATTTTGGTCTCAATTACTATAATTGTCATTTACATAGCTTACATCCCTAAGTAATGTAATTGTGCATTTGCAAACGTTTTACGTAATTTGTTTCATGAATCTAATTTTATAGCATAGGAGATGTTAAGTAACATTTTAATTGGAAATGAACCCTGTGGCAAGAAAGGGAGGAGTTACCCAATTTTTAAAATAGTAAACTTTAAAGCAGGTTACGCGTAATAAGATTTGCGTGTAATCAAATGGCTAAGACTTAATAAACGTCACCTATGGTTTTTAAGTATTTCAGCGCTTTCAAGAAAATTTGGGTGGCTCTTAAAAGAGCCTTTGATTTGTAGGAGGGACTGTTGGTTTTGCAAACATTTCACTTCCCCTTGGCCTTGTGGTGGCTCTCGGTCTTCTTGGGCAGCAGCACGGCCTGGATGTTGGGCAGGACGCCGCCCTGCGCGATGGTGACGCGGCCCAGCAGCTTGTTGAGCTCCTCGTCGTTGCGGATGGCCAGCTGCAGGTGGCGCGGGATGATGCGCGTCTTCTTGTTGTCGCGCGCCGCGTTGCCCGCCAGCTCCAGGATCTCGGCCGTCAGGTACTCGAGCACGGCCGCCAGGTACACGGGCGCGCCAGCCCCGACCCGCTCCGAGTAGTTGCCCTTGCGGAGCAGGCGGTGGACGCGGCCCACCGGGAACTGGAGGCCGGCCCGCGACGAGCGCGTCTTGGCCTTGGCGCGAGCCTTGCCGCCTTGTTTGCCGCGACCTGACATAGCGAGTGATATCTGAGAGCAAAAACCCACAGGAAGAAAGAAAAGAAATGTCCCGCAAGCTGCAAAAAGATGCCAGTTATAGTGCTGGATGGAAGTGGAAAACTCGAGTTGGGATTGGTTAAGGTCATCGTTTGGCAGTCCCACCAATAAGAAAGCAGATGTGACGCACTCAAATTTACATATTCCCCGTCACTAATTCATTATCAAATCAGATTCGGATATTCTTGCATGCCTTATTTGCATAGATGGCCTATAAAAGAGGAGACTCTGGATGTAGGCGGACATCTTAGGACTTTTATTTGCTTTGTCAATCGAATTGTTGGGAGTCAAGATGCCCGAACCCGCCAAGTCGGCTCCGGCCCCGAAGAAGGGCTCCAAGAAGGCGGTGACGAAGGCGCAGAAGAAGGACGGCAAGAAGCGCAAGCGCAGCCGCAAGGAGAGCTACTCGGTGTACGTGTACAAGGTGCTGAAGCAGGTGCACCCCGACACAGGCATCTCGTCCAAGGCCATGGGCATCATGAACTCGTTCGTCAACGACATCTTCGAGCGCATCGCGGGCGAGGCGTCCCGCCTGGCGCATTACAACAAGCGCTCGACCATCACGTCCCGGGAGATCCAGACGGCCGTGCGCCTGCTGCTGCCCGGGGAGCTGGCCAAGCACGCCGTGTCCGAGGGCACCAAGGCCGTCACCAAGTACACCAGCTCCAAGTGAACTTGCCAAGTAAGCGTCTTCAGCTAATCTAACCCAAAGGCTCTTTTCAGAGCCACCTATATTTTCATCCAAGGAGTTGTAACGTTTGTAACGTTAAGTATACTTTTGACATTGAATTTGTCTGGAGACCGGCCTTTTATAGGAGAAACAACCGATGCCCACGCGGGTAGTAAAAGCACGTACGTCTTTTTCTGCTTCAAAACTTCTAGTCTCTATATTGTCCATGTTACAGGGCCTGGAACTTTGCACACATTCAATTTCCATTTCAGTCTACAGAATGCTATGGAAGCTGGAAAGGAGTTCAAAGGTGCTCCTGTCCTCACCCTACCGCTAGGTCTTGTATTCTGCCAGTAGCAATTAGTTCCACTACCCTCTGATTTCTACACTCCCAGAAATGTTTCCATTCCTGTTCCTCCTAAGTTGTCAGCCTGAATTCCACCTGGCCTCTTTTCCAAATTTACAGGTTGTATAACTTTTTCTTTCCTTTGTGCCCCAAGCCCCTACTTTTGCCTTCAATTGTCTCTGGGATACCTCAGTTTTGGCTGAAAAACCTGGGTAGCTTTTAATTAAATTATATTTGTAAAAATCAATACTTTTCCATTTTCCTGAGAGATGCATAGCTCCAAGCCTCCATTGATTTAAATAAGGGCCATGACTACTTTACGTTTGAAAGCATTTGTTTATTGCATTTCCTCTTTCCATCAGGCACTTTGATAATCATATATTTTCTTTGCTTTCAAGGGACTAGCAGTCTCCGGTTTACCACCATCAGTTCTCCCAGGCAGGGGAAGTATTCCGGGATATAGAAGTGAATTGAATTTGAGGGCAGCGGCAGTCCTGTGGAATGTGGGGTTTCCTCTCCTAGCCTAACCAAGCCTTTCTTCTTGGCTGACTCAGGACACGTAAGGAAAGCTGAACAAAGAATGCACCAAGAAAAGAGATATGTAGCTTAGTGCTGGAGAGAGGAGATAATCTATGTAAAAATACTAAAGTGTTGACAAATCTACTTGATGTGAAGTGTCTTTGAATTCTATCCAGACACCTTTGAAAGAGAAGACTTTGGTGCGAAGGTTCTGCCATGTAAATGAGCTTTGGTTCTCACACCCACTGTGCCTCACTTTATAAAATGAGGCTATTACTAAATATTACTAAGTAATAAATTATTAAAATAAACTATGGACACTTGTGAAAACAAAATGCAATAATTTATAATAAAAATACACATTTTAGAGGAATTTACAATTCAGAAGGTTTTTATGAACATTATGAGGCAAAATTTTCCATTTCTCCCATACTTCATATATAATAAATGCAAGCTTTTTGAAGTAGAATTATAATCAGAAGTAATAATACTACAATGAGTGGAGCAAGTGTTACTCCATGAAATTAGAATTGCTGCTCTTAAATCCAGACATCCTAAACACCAGGAAAAAAGGAAACGTAAAATGCTGCTCTCAAAATTAGAGAACCTTCAACATTATGGGAACCTGCAATATTTAGGAAGAATTTACATGCATCTATAATAATTCTGATAATAAGTACACATTTAAATTTACATATATGTGTAGTTGTAATCTTAAAGAACCTCAATGAATACAGAATCAATAATTCTTAAGCTATGGGGGTGTATTAATTTCCTATCGCTGGTCTGACAGGTTATCACAAATTTAGCGGCTTATATCAGTAAAAATTTATAATTTCATAATTCCGTAGATCAGCATTTGGGCATGGATCTCACGCGTCAGGAAATCTGCATTCTTCTCTGGGGTCTATCAAAAGAAATCTGCTTGTCTGCCCTTTCCAGCTCCTATCAGCTATCCTCTTTCCTTGGCTCAGGGCCCCTTTTCTCAGTTTTCAAGGCCAGCCATCTCTGGCCAAATCCTCGCGCTGTTATCTCTCTGGTTCTGTACTCAGGTTCCCTCATCCAATTTTAAGTATCCATGTGATTATACTGGGTTCACTTGGATAATCCAGGGTAATCTCTCTTTTAAAAAATCAGGTGATTTGCAATCTTACTACCATCTGCAACATTAATTGCCCTCTGTCATGGAACCTAACATATTCACAGACCCGTAGAGGTTTGGAGTTAAAGATAATCGTGATGGTATTTTTCTGCCTAGCGCCATAGGTCACAGTGTTTTTAGAATTTGATAGAAAGCTATATACTTCCCGTTCTACAAGCGGGAAGAATAAATGGGCGCACTACCATATATACTTTCAGGGTGTTCTTGTACTCTGGGAAAGGTCATATATACCTTGTTTACTTCTGGGAATACATAAAGCAAAAATTGACTATAACAATAGAAGCTCTCATATACAGTTTCCTGGTATTGTTAGATTTCATTCTTTTACATTTCTTTCCTTGTTGCTTTTGTTTTGTTTGAAAATGTGTATGTTCTTTGTGTATGTTGTTTTGTGTGTGTGTGTGCCCGCATTTGTGTTGTGTGGGGAGGAGAAAGTTTGTTATTCATGGAAGAAATTATACAAGAATATAAAATAGTTTTACTTTTTTCCTACCTGGGTTGAACCCCTAAAACTATTTTGTATGTTCATCCTTAGCATTTAATTCATGTGGCATACCATTCATGGCAGTTTATAACTTTAAGCACATTTCTAATTACAAGGAGAAAAGTGTAAATTTCCATCACCATTATTATATATGTCTGCATATGCTAGGGCAGTGGTAGTGTTACTAGAACGACATGAAATTTTTTTTAAAAGATTTTATTTATTTATTTATTTGTCAGAGCAGGGTGAAGGGCAGAGGGAGAAACAGGCTCCCTGCTGGAGCCCGACAGGGGGCTCGATCCCAGGACCCTGGGATTATGACCTGAGCCAAAGGCAGATGCTTAACCCACTGAGCCACCCAGGAGGCCCCATATTAATTTTTTTTAATTTAAAAATAACTTTTGTTGACCAGGACAGAAATAAGCTGATTTAAAATCCACCCTGGAGGGCGCCTGGGTGGCTCAGTTGGTTAAGTGACTGCCTTCAGCTCAGGTCATGATCCTGGAGTCCCGGGATCGAGTCCCGCATCGGGCTCCCT